AATTATATACACAATTATATACACAATTATATACACAATTATATACACAATTATATACACAATTATATACACAATTATATACACAATTATATACACAATTATATACAGAATTATATACAGAATTATATACAGAATTATATACAATAGTTTAAAATGTTTAGCAAAAGTTAAAGAATAATCTAATATTCAATACTCACTTAATACTATTAACACGAATTCCTTTGGGCCCAAACTGTAAGGCCAAACATTTGGTAAACATGTCCAGGGCACTTTTGGCCATACAGTATGCGATGGCTTGTGGCGCCTGTTTATATGAATATTTTAAAATATTTAATCATATTTATTATTTTGTTATTTATTAGGTTTTACTTACGGGTATAAGTGCGGCAACACTCGAGATGTTAATAATGTTTCCTTTGGTTGACTCGAGATATGGAACCACTAATTGAGTCAATACTTGAATACTCCGGACATTAGTGTTCATCACTGTATCAAATGCTAGCAAATATCCCGGGTCTCCAAATTGTGCCATTTGTACGACACCCGCGTTGTTCACAAGAATATTTATTTTTCCAAATTCTTTCACTGTTTTGTTGACCAAATTCTTGATATCATTGTCGACTTGTAGGTCAGCCCTAACTCCCAGTGCTTTCTGTTTGGAAAGTGATTCACACTTTTTGACCACAGATTGGATTCTCTGGTCATCCCTTCCAGTGATGACTACATTTGCGCCCAAAGACGACAACTTCAGAGCAATCCCTTCGCCGATACCCGAAGACGAGCCTTAGATTTGAAAATATAATCCATTTATTATTATATTTTCTTTATACGCTAATCATAAATATATATATGAAAATACCTGTTATTAAGGCAACTTTCCCATTGAAATCCATTGTATTAAAAATTAATATGAAAATTATTAAAAATAAAACAAAAGAATTAAAATATTTTACAGATTGTATAGACAACACAAATCCTATTTTCACTACTATCCTAGTTAACACAAATTGAATACTGGATACTGGATATTGGATACTGGATAACTTATATACTCTGAAAAAGTATACAGTACTTTTTGACCATTGAGTACCTAATGCACTAAAATTTGTATCAAAACAAGCAAATCATATATTGGAGATAAATAATTATTGTACTCTATGTCGAAACTATGGTAATACTACTAGTATTTTAGCATGAAGGTCAGATTGATCACTACTGTAGTAAAAACTTCCCGTTTAGTACACATAATCAATTGAATTGTAAATAAGCAATTATTCTAGGTACAAACTAACATGTAAGTTAATAATTATGAAAGCTAAAACCCACATTCAAATTGATAAAATTACATAAAATAAAAATAAATTAAATTTATAATTATTATTCAAAGCAATTTAATCATCACTATTCCGTATCGATTATAATTTATGCTTTTTGTATAACAGGTAAAAACAAGTAAAATTATTTTCAAAATTTTTGAACAGTTATTATATGAGTTAAATAATTTTAAAAATTACTTTAACATACTACAATATTAAAATGTTTTTATAACTTTATTCAGACATTTCATGTAAAACATTATTAAATATTTTAAACATAAATGTATTATAATTAATGATGATTAATCATAATAACAAAATATAACTAAATTTATTGTGTTTTGGTTGCACTCAACCAGGAGGGGTCCCTAAGACATCCGCCATCGACCGGTAAAATGGCACCCGTTATGAATGAGGCGACCGGTGAGCACAGGTATGCCACGGCTTCCGACACGTCCTCGGGTTCACCGATTCGTTGCAACGGATATGTGTCTCGACATAACTTCTCTACAAAAGGCAATTCAACGGTCGCCTCGAAAATTGGGGTCCGAATAATAGCCGGACTATTCAGTAGACAAACAATTAAATAATAAAAATTGGTATAAAAATCATTTATTACTCACTTAACACTATTCACACGAATCCCTTTGGGCCCCAACTGTAAGGCCAAACATTTGGTAAACATATCCAGGGCACTTTTGGCCATACAGTATGCCATAGTACCAGAGGACTATATTTTGAGCTTGTTAGTAAATATTATTTATACATAAAAGTTAAATATATACAAATGTTTGTATATATACAAATATTTGTACAATATACTTACCGGGGTCATTGATAAAACACTCGAGATGTTAATAATGTTTCCTTTAGTACTCTCAAGATATGGGACCACTAATTGAGTCAATACTTGAATTGAACGGACGTTAGTGTTCATCACTTTGTCAAAAGTGTCGATATATTTTGGGTCCCCTAATGGGGCTCTCAATGCAATTCCTGCGTTATTCACGAGAATATCTATTTTCCCGAATTCTGTGATAGTCTTCTCAACCAAATTCTTGATGTCAATGTCGATCATTAAGTCAGCCCTAACTCCAAGTGCTTTCTGATTGGAAAGTGATTCACACTTTTTGACCACAGATTGGATTCTCTGGTCATCCCTTCCAGTGATGACTACATTTGCGCCCAAAGACGACAACTTCAGAGCA